TTTCCTGACACGTATACACATAAATACCTGAGGAATATAAGTAAGTGAAAAAGTACCATTAACGAGGAAAAATAATGCATCGAATAAGTCCGAATTTTCAGCACAAATTCTTCTACTTTAAATTTGTGGATGTTTTATCACATACGACAAAAATTGTAAATACTACTACTGCCATGTAGTATATATTGCTTTACAAAATTAATGTTTTTTTCTGAAATTGAACTTTCTTATAGTTTTACTCTTTAATCACGGTACATACACTATATGAAATTACAATTTAAACTCAATTCATAGAGCCTGTTAATGTTAGTTAGTTCATTAAAAATCAATTAATTTTGTTTTGGTTGGTATTCGGGTTTTTCCGGCAAGACCCGGAAACCAATCAAAATATTGAGGCCAGCCGTGAAAGTTGTTTTTTTTAGAATAAGAAGAAGAGTCTTGTTGAAGAGAGAGAGTTGAAATCTTTCAGAAAATTAATTAGTTGGTTAAATCTACTTTCTGTAAACCATGGAAATTATCAGATAATCATCTTACTGAAATTATCTTTATCATTGAAAAGATCAACAAAATTTTGAAAAAATCACTTTGCACAACACATATGGCAGATTTTACCAAAACCCCTACATATGTTTTCCGCTTCTAAATGCCCATTAAACTGTCAGTTTTTTCCGCCCTGCCGTTTGCTTAAGCTCCTTCAGCCTTGAATAAGTATGTGCAAGTCACGGTGATGAATTTGCCAGCTATTACTGCCATTAGTTGGCAAAAGAGGGTGAACTATGTCAAACAAATGTCGAACTCATTAATTTCGACGTTTTGGAGTAATAATTCAGTGGCGTTCTCCTAGCAATGGATACTGAGTTATTAAAAACCTTATATTTCTGAAAAGATTGGTTTTTGAGCAAAAATCTCTTAGTCTTTTTATAGAAATATTGTGAAAATTTCCAAAGAAAGAAGAAAGTAATCAACGAGCGTTTTCAATCCTTCTAGAAATTTCTAGAGATACACCATGAATGACATCTCTTCAAATTTGATAATGAATGTTTGGAGTAACAAACCGAATAAGAAAACTCAATGTTCAAATGTTTGAAAGTATTGCAAAATAACTTATGTGCATTTTTGTTGATTATTTTCTTCCTTTCTCCGAAAGTTTTCCACAATTTTTCTATAAAGATTGAGAGGTGGAAAGCCAAAGAACTTTTTTAGTTATGTTTATCTTGACAGAACCTCAAGATAAACATAACTAAAAAATCATTGAATAATATTTCAATAAATTAAAAGAGGTATATTTTTAAGATAGATTAGTTTTCGGGAAAGGAAGGTTTTGGCTTTATACAGCTCCATATAAAAAATATGGGAATCTTCAAAGAATGGAAAGAAAGCTATCAATTTCAAAATATTATGTGTATGCAAAGATTTTTGGTATGAATATTTTGAAGAAAGGTTTTAATAATACACGATTTTGCAGTAATAAATGAAACTACATGATAGTATTAGAATATATGTTCGATATATGTTGTCTTTCACAAGCCGCACATGTCTCATAGCGGTACAAAACTATTATTTTCCAGACAGCTCATAGAACTACCAGTGTAATTCGGCTACAGGTATTTACTTTGTTTTACAGAACGTTTATAATATTAGGGCAAATATAATAAACCACACTTTTTGAATTATATTACAAAAATGAAATCTACAGGAGTTAAATCCGCAGAGCGCGTGGACCATTGGATCGGACCTGTTCCATCAATCCGTTAGCGTTCGTAGGTAGCGTTTAAATACCTCGTGATGAATTAAGAATTATGTGGAGAGCATTATCGCTCTACCACAACATGATTATCTTTTCATCCAATGGAATATATCTTAGCAGCTCAGGTCTGCTGTTGAAACACCAAGAAATAACGAGTATCTAACGAAATATCCTCAAAATAATGTGGTTCAATTATGCGACCATTAAATACCACACGTCACAAATGTATATCTCAAATTCCTTGGAAGTGTGTTTTGAGGCGCCAGTGTGGCTGTTTTACTGGCTAGTAATGCATATCATTACTCACTACTCCGATTTTCTGAAAACGATATAGGTACATCTGACCATAAACTATTTTTTTTAACATAGGATGATTGTAAAGTATTGTATCTGAGTATCGTACTACAGACAGTTCTTTTACTGATTCCAATCCCATCTGAAAGCAACTTGAGCTAGAGTACTGTTTCTTCTGTTTAACTAGCTGTAGTATGATGCTGATGATTTTCAGATGGATATTTACTAGTTCGTAACTTTTGATCTACTCAGATAAAGGTTCGTGACTTAGGGGTTTTCTATCTACCTGACGAAAATTTTTATGATAATTTTCATAAATCAAAAGCATGTCAACATATTTATTAGTTGTGAACGAAATAATATATCTTCTTATATTTTTTTCAACCTCCAGCAAATAAAACAACATCTCTTCTATAACAACTACTGTACCGGTACTTCGCTAATAGATTTTAACAACTTCCATTGCCAATTTACTTTTACTGTGGGTGGAACCATTGTTTCCTGTTAAAATCATATAGAATGATCTAGGGAAGGCGGAGGGTTGTATTATGCACCTGAGACGAATTGTTGTTGGAAAGCAATCCCTAAATTGATGAAAAAAGTCGATCAGCAACATTAAGTAAATATAATAAATCGTATAACTAGTGGCAAATTCAGAATGAAGTCAAGTATCGTTTATTACTTAAATAATTTAATCGTAAAGTCCCATTTGGCGACTATCAGCTTCATCTCGATATTTTCAAATAAACCTTTTGATCTACTTCACAATAATTTTTTAAATATCTTTATATCTTTTCAATTAACAGATATACTGCACGTGAAAGATATTGTGGGACACCTTGTATATTTTAGTTATATGTAAGTAAATTATACCTAAGAAATCAAATTACAGGCGATATCTTTTGAGAAACAAAACTACCATCCTCCACCTCATCAGCGTTTGGGGATTTTCAGATGATGTTGCTAATGGAATTGCTTGTCTTCAATGGTATTGACTTCATCTATGAACAAGGCGGAACGTTGAGCGTTAAAATTTTAATAAGGCAAGCGTTTTTGAGTTACGATCTATCAATTTTGTTTTACACGGAAGCCGAACATTTTAGATTACACTAATTATAGTGGAGATGCGTTTTCTGTTATTTATGGAAATATATGAATTTCACTAAGTGGTTTGTTAATTGTTTCGAAAAGTGTTCGGGACTGAAATAAAACTTCCGACAGATAAAAGCTTTTGTGGTATATTAAGATTAGGTAAATGGCAAGTCTTGATACCGAAATGCTGTTGATGCTTATCGTGAAACCGCAGGAAATCAGGTAAAACTCTATTAGGCGTTTTTATTCTTAAGTTCAAATCTCATTTCATTCCTTGAAATAACAGACACCCTAGAGAGGAATTTCATCCCAACTTTGTTTCAACATAGCGAACGAAAAAGTAATAAATTGCAATTAGTTGACGTCAATAAGCCGTTATATATGGAAATAAATGAAACAGTTTAAGAGAAAAAAAAAGCCTGTCAAATACTTGATATGATGTTTTTTCAAAGGCACTTTTCCCCCAGAAGTACTTTTCCCAGAAGTTGTTGTTTAAACACTGAAAGCTATAGTTAGTTGTCGTATTAATGAATTTTGTCTATCAAATGAGATAAATTAGTTCAAAACATTATTTATAAACTTAGCTTTCTCAACAAAGGTATGATGTTATGAAAAACAGTTTCTTTCCGTTTGAAATACCCAAAATTCTCTGTAAAAAATGCCTTGATTGTAAATATATAGTTTTTATTCTCAGTATGCCCCTCATTACTCATTAACAGATCTCTGTTGAGAATTGTAACAAATTCTATGACTTTTCAAAACCATATTTTTTACAAACTCAACGAAAATTCAGTACTATCATCTATGATTTTGTCAAAAGTCCCCTACCATTATGTAAATGAAAATATGACCATACGTTTTGTTCAATTTGAATGATTAATGAATGGAGAAATAATGATCATCTATTATTACCAAAATGACCAACGAAAACGTGAATTTATGGCAAGGTTTGACCTCCATGTTTCAAATCTACAAAATTCCTTTAGCACATTCACATCCATCCTTCGCATCCTCTCGTTAACACTACTAGTTCCCGGCCAGACCATCGATCATCAATCATCAATAACTGAGCAGGAAGCCGTCGGCATTCGAGAACGGAAAACGCTAAAGTCCCTAAGAAATTCCACAAATATTTGTTTAGTATTCGAGCCCATAACGTAATTCTCGCTCACGTTTGATAGATGCTGTCCCTTTTCTATTCTCTGTAAACAAGAGTAATTGGGTAGAGCTGCTTTCGCCTAAGCCTTATTTCGTGCAGAGGTAGTCAAAGGAGCCATATGTGTTCGAAGATACACTGAGAAAAATGATTTTCAATGTTGTTCTTCTTAAATAATACAGAATAATAAGAACGGAAAGGAATAAGTATGTGGATTTCTTAACAAAGTTAGTTTATGTGAAGCAATATACAGTACCTATATATGGTATCCAAAAATCATAAACTTGACACTGTCTCCTGTTGATATTATAGTAACATTTGAGGAAAATCTAATTTATTTCATTTTATTCGTATTCACCATCTGATTATCGTTCTCCTAAACTAAATTTCTGCGTTTCCTTGAGCTTTCTTTATTTCTTTTTCCAATTTTGTGGCGAATAATTGATGATGTATAAGAGAGGTCGTTTATTTATAGTTGTCTGTTATAGCTACTATTGGTTATTCAACACACAATCAAATGCTTTAGTAAAGTCGCACAAAGCGACCGCTGATTTGACCCCAGGTTATATGAGTTTTCGTAGAAAACTTTCATGTAGAACACTTCTTAACAGTCTTCGAAATTATGAATCTGAAGTTCAGTGTACTGTTTTTGAAGAACCAAATCTCCCTATCCAACTCAAATTCACCTCTAACAAATATGTTTTGTTACAGAACGATACGATGAGAATTATTTGGGCTTTTCACGAATCCGAACCAATGGGAGGAGCTGTGGCCCCTAATTCACTCCCGCAACATGATATGACTTCAAGAGGGAGCCAGTCGCTCTATCTGGTTCAGAGAGCAGACCAAGATGCTCCTGGTCCAGAAGAAACAGCGAGAATTTGGGAACTACGCAATAACGCAGCCGAACCTCCTTCACCTGGGGAAACAATATACTGGTGTAGGGTATTCAGAATACCAACCATCACCAGGAAACATCACTTGATTAGAGTAAGTTATATGTTGAAAATGATTTATTAATGATTTTGATGTGGAATCATTTCATATTTATTGAAGTTGGTATTTCATCTTATCTGTTAACATCGTGAAAAATGAAATGAGAGTGGAGACATGAAATACAACTTCATATGTTTCTTTCGCTTCAAGCAAGTAGTTTTAAAAAAGTACTGTACCATTGTGCACATTCTCTTTCCTGCAAATAAAGAAAGTAACGGTTAATACTTCTAGTTCTGCATAGATTTACCTACACTTCACTATTTGCAGAGACTATAAAGAGTGTTTGGGTGTTGAGCCCTTCATATTTGTGCAGTTTTCAGCACGAATCGAACTTGTGATTTGTAAATAATCAGACAAAAGCTTGAGAGACAAATAGCTTCTAGCGCGGAAAGGAAATTCAAGTTTCATGAAGCAGCTTTCTATTACTGATAGAGATTTGTAATATAAATACTGCTGGGATAGCAGCAAGAATAGATATTTCGCTAGGTACTCGGTTGATACAGTTTATTGAAATACATCACCTTCCCTTGCTAACTATGACTGAAGCTGCAGGTTCGAATGATAACGCGTACTTTCCTCTGAAATGATTTGGAATGGGCAGGTTGTCGTATCGATCAGATAGTGTACTTGAGCCTGAAACAGTGTGGGTGCAGTGATTGAATCCTACTGGATGTCAGTATTGACAACTAAAAAAAACAGACCTATTCCTGAGGTTATAGTATCTCAGTAAAGTCCCGATGTCATAAAAAGTCGCATGTTTCTTTCCTTTTCCAGAAATTGAATCCAGCTCTTTTGTTGTTGTTTTAGAGAACTTCTACCCTTCATTAAAGGTACAACTAAAGTGTAATGAACAGTTAGATAATTGTCAGAAATATATGTGTTGAAATTATTTGATCCCTTCATTATTTTACTCGAAGTGTATTTCATCTGATGTGACAGTCTCAATCATAATTCACGATATAAATTTTATGAAAAGTAAAGAGCACAAATAAAGTCAGAAAAATATGCAGCTGACGTGAAAGACATGAAAATTAGAAAATATGTAAAGGAACATCAATTCTAAACTTTTGATCTACTGAAAATTCCGAGAATTTACCAGACTAAGTACAATGTAAGGCAAGGAAATTGCAATAAACGGAATAATCACTAACACTGCCTCGAACCTCCACAATGCATTTCAGAGCAGGATAACCTAATTCCATTCTATCACCAGACGCGTATGAATTCAAGAATACGACTAATGCAACGTTCCATCTGATTCAAATTCCCCCTAGATTTCCTCCAACGTTTTCACGTGTCTCTTGGTTGAATCTCGGAAGATGACATGTAAATTGCTTAGTTTTGAACTCGATTCACGAAATTTGGGAATATCGTTATGGGTAGGATAAAGCCCCCAGATGCAACTCCGGGCGACATTTTATGCCGCTTTGTTATTTAAATTCTCAGTCATTGCGGAATTGTGTTTTCTTTTTCATTCAAGAGGGTCCAATTATAGCCGGCTTTGGAGTTGACGGGCGAGGGTGACCGACTATCCATTCCTCAGCAATTGTTGGGTTGAATGAAAATATTAAATTCAAAGACGACAGGATAGATAACAACGACGAATTTATTTCAATTCATGACACATTCAAAATCACAAGGTAATAGAAGACACCGAGATGTCCAATATTAGAAAATAGCAATGGGTATATAGTGGATACAGCCACACATGAACATCTATAACTATCCGGTCAAATACAGCGAATTTCAAAATCATAACATAAGAAAAAATATCGTAGAAAAAATTGATGGCAACGAGTATTGAAATATTTGCGAAAACTTTGGAAACCAAAGGATTGAAAAATGCAAGTAAAAGGGCGAAGTAATCAAAATTATTCATTATGAGAGGTAATATAAACAGTGTAGATTAGATCGTGTAGACCGTGTAGATTAGTTCATACAATGAATGAAAAATATACAAACAATGGATTTTCAGTGAATGAGACAAATATGAAATATAAACACTGTGTCATATGCAAAAATAATGGCAAAAAATATGACAAAAAATTCTGCAGAAAATGGGTCCTCAAGGACTGAATAATGAAATTAATAAGAAGAATTATTGAATATTTGATACCTGCAGGACATTCGCAAATGTAAAATTGTGATATTGAACAAGTTTGGATTATTCAAAAAGTTCAAAAGCAAATGAGCAACTTGATACAATGCTTTACATCAGTTAAAAAAATACCAATTAAGACATTTATTAGCAGCAATTGACCATATTCGATAAGGATTAAGTGGTGGTCGGGTTTTGTATTTTAGCGTTGGTACCACTTAGAACCTAATCCTTTCCCGATTTATGGAGTGTTTGATATTTAGTTCATATACATATGAAAGCTGAACTTTTTTTGGAAGAAATTGGTTCGCAAAAAGGTGTTCAGAAATCAGAAGACAAACATGGAGTAAAATTTCCATAGGAAATTCCATGGAGTGATTGCGAACCAATCTCAACAACACTCTTCTTTCTTGAAAATTATAATATCCATTATCGAAATATATTAAAAAAAAAAATAGAAGAAAGGATATTCTGATAACATTAAAAAATACACCAGAACGGACAACGTGGTACTTCAGATACTGATGGAGAATGTTTGGATTCACCAATATCAATAGGTCCGAAACAGTTTGAAAAAGTTCTTTCATGTTGATGTCTCAATTGTGTTTTATTTGATTTTTAAAATTATTATTTTTATTCCCTCCATTTTATGAACATTCCTAACTTCATCATGGCAAAATACACTCATAAATTTCTCATTTGTTTCAGTACGAACCTCTCCAAAGCATCAACGGCGGTAATGGCCTTCAACACGTCGTCTTGTACGAATGCCAAGACAATGCAGCCGTTGAAAAATTGGCCGATGAACCCGGTCGTCAGTGTTACGAGTCACATGCCCCGCCTCTATCCTGCAATACTGTAGTCGCCAGTTGGGCCAGAGGTTCCGAAGGTTTTAGCTTCCCTCCCGAAGCTGGCTACCCCTTAGACGCACAGAACTCCCGATTTTATTTGATGGAGACCCACTACACTAGTCCTCTAGATGGAAGCATCAGCACCTTAGATGGCTCTGGACTGAGACTATATTACACGCCAGAGCTCAGAAGACATGATGCCGGAGTAATCTCTATAGGTATGGATCCAAACTGGAGGCACATCATCCCGCCCGGCCAAGACAGGGTTGTTTCCTCCGGACATTGTGTGTCAGCGTGCACTAGTCAGGCTTTTCCGGAATCCGGTATCAATATGTTCGCCGTAGTGATGAAAACGCATAAGATTGGCAAGCAAGTGGCGCTCAAACATATTCGTGGTAGTGTCGAACTTCCTCCAATTGCTAGTGATGATAATCTTGACTCTGATTATCAGGAGTACCGAAAGTTAGGTGTCCCAGTGCGAATTGCTCCCGGTGATCATTTGATAACGCAGTGTACTTACAACAGTTCTGGAAGATCTGCAATTACTCTCGGTGGTTTGACTAGTCGAGAAGAAACTTGTCTGGTGATGGGACTCTACTATCCAAAACAGAAAAACCTGGCCGCTTGCCACAGTTTGCCCAGTTTGCCAACAGTTTTGCATTCGTTGGGAATTCAAGAACTTAGTCCGTAAGTAATGTTTCCTTCATAATAGCTATAGTCGTTCCAAATGAACTCAAAAATGTCAATCCCGATTTTCATTACAATATTTCACTTCAACTTCATTCTTCATCACCATAGTCAATTCCTTATTCATTTAATGTACTCACAAAACAAATGAAAATTTTATCAATCAATTCGTTACTATAATAATTTTCTATTTGTTTCCAGGGGTTCAAATCCAATTCGAATAACAGCTCCACCAGAGCTTGCTGGGATGACCCTAGAATCAAGGCTCGTTTCATACGACTGGGACAGACAATTTCAAGTTTTCCAAGACGCGACAATGAAAGGATCCTTCAAGCCCATATGTTGGACTGCGCAGTCCACTATATTACCGGTAAGTTGGTTTTGATCTATTTTAAATAACTTGTGTTCTTTTGTGTCTCAATATGATTATATATCTTTTAATCTCAGTCTCTTCAGTTCACCTTCTAAGAATTTTCTTTTCCGTATGATGTACCTAACAATTTCTGTTTGAACAAATAATCAACTCGTATGTGAATGAACGCGACTAATTGATAGATAGATTTAATGCCCACAATATTTTCCACAATATGAAAAATAAATAATTGTATTAGAAAACATTATAGAGGTGTATGATGAACAAACTTCTTATTTTTATATTTTTGAAAGTCAGTGACTTATGCTAATTTATAATTGTGGCTCAAAAAATCAGAGATGCGTATTTTATACGTAACTTTTTGGGGTAAACTAGAATTTTGACCTCTCTACACCAGAATGTAGTTCTCCATTATTAGTTTTTATTTCATCAAATTGTGGAAGGTGAATAATCTTGCAAATATTTTCTCAAATTTCAAAATTTTCACAGATACCAAAAGGGTTATGAAATATGTCAAAATGGAAGAATGACTTTTGACACATTCGATATATTAGAAGTTTGTTGTCTGATCGAACGATCCTTTTTCAAAGATTTGTTTGATATAGGTACATTTTCCACCAGATATAAGAATGATCATTGATTCTTTGAGCTTATGCCTCTTATTATGTGATTTATTGATGATCAACCAAAACGTGTGCTAACAATTCTGATCCTGATAATTGTCTACTCCTGATTTTCATTCTCGCACACTTTCAATCATCTTGGTGACTCACAAATATGTTTTTTTCCACAAGAACAAAATATATTACAAGTGCAATTTTTTGTTTTTTTGTTCCGTGTTACTGGTCTTTGTATATGGAATTATAGCTCTTAGTGTTTTTTATGTCTATGGAGTTCTAATTTTATATCCATTGCCAATTCGTTTTATCTTTTTAGGTGAGCCTGGAATATAAGGTATAACGTAGTTGTGAAAGGTCTCGTTGGTTGTTGATTCTGTGATGCTGTTTCAGTTTGTAATGCTTTTTTTTCATAGTGAAGTTTCTGATTCTTTAACTCAAATATAAAATAATTAGTTTAGAGGAGAGTGACCAAATATGGAATACCATTTTGTTTATTACACATAATTTGCCCAAACATTACAAATAGAAAACATTTTGTAGTCATTAATAATAATCATATATATACGCTTTATTTTTTAACAAGTTTTGATTACATTGACTAATTTCAAATAAAATTTAAATAAAAAATTAAATAATGATGAAGGTATCTTAAATATGGAATAAGTACCCCATATATGGAATACTATAAACACTATGAAATTTCAACTCTAACTTAAATGATATTCTTTGGAAACATCAGTATAATATAGAAAAGAGCACAAATTATTTGCAAAAATCACAAATCCAGGCATCAGACTCTGGTCCTGCGCAATCATTATGCGTCCAGAGCCCACACATGAGGCACTTGGCCCATGTTTCCCCATGGGTATCATTTGAAAACAGCATAACACAGAGCATACACTCCAAATCAGAGTCTGGAGCTGTATGGAGGCATCGGGCTCACTGTCTGTATCAGACAACATCATCTCCTCATCATCATTCGAATCTGACTTAGGCTTAATCTTTCCTCTTAGCTTTTTTTCTCGCTCAGTTTTTGATTTTTTTTCTTTGGACATTTATTTTCTTTTTCTTCTTTCTTCTTAAGGTTTCCTTTTCTTGTTTGGTACTGGACTGATGTCATATGGAGAAACAAGTTCTTAAACTACTGCGAGAAAATCCGTAATTTGAGGGCACAGGTTCAACATTTGTATCTTGTCTAGATGTAGAAACTTCAGTTGAAGGCTCACCATCATCATATGTTCCAAGATTAGCCATCGATTCTTCTAAAGTTTGGGAACTTGTCATTGGTGTAACGTCGACTGTGCAACCATCTTTAACTGCATCTTGTTGGGCAGCAAGATAGTCGACCGCAGTAAAAAAATTTTAATTCAACGGCCATAGGCCTGTAACCCGAAATCCATTGGCTGCTATCTCACTCATTTGTACTTTTAAATAAGTCCTACCAAATAGCTCCACAATATCATAAGGGCTCAGTGGTCTATAGTTGTTTCTGATCCACATTCGTATTTCTTCACTGTAATACGTTTTGAGAGGTCCTATAAACGTTTTGTCTAGTGGCTGGAGCTTGTGGGTTGTGTGAGGAGGTAAGGACACAATGTTTACAATATTTTCTCTAGCAAATTCTATCACTATCGATGTTAGGAGTATCTAAAATCAGTAATATTTTCGATTCCGGAGTAGGTTTGGTATGTTTGATAAAATGTTTGAACCACTCTGTTAATATGTTCATTTGGATTCATCCTGGCGGATGTGCAATGCCAACAGCGCCTGAGGGACTGCCTCTCATTAGCTGATCACTCATATTCTTGCGAGGGAATATAATAAAGGAAGGTACAAAATGACCAGTAACGTATATAGCAACAACAATTGTCATTAATGAACCCCTTTCACCTGAGGTTAGTGAAGCTATCTACCGTTTCCCTTTATGGTCAACCACTTGGGGTATCTTGCTTTGTACTACGGTAAGCCCAGATTGGTCAACATTATATATGCGGTTTGGACCATATTTCTCTTGAGCATAAAGGCCTTCAAGAAGATCAAAGAATGTGTCTACTTTTTCTTTGCTGAATCGAAATGCTCTAGCAAAAGATGTGCCAGTTAGTCTTCTCAGTGATAGTTTGTCGTTATGGCGCTTATGAAATAGCATAAGCCATTTCTTTCCAGCCAATTCCGTGTCATCAAATGGATTTCTCAACTGATTACGTCTTGCCAACATGTACGCCATTCTTCGAACATCGCTTTCCGTCAAGCCGTTACATTTGCTCTCCATTGTCAAAATTTAGTCTCCCAAAATAATTTCAAGAGTTGTCCCTAAAACAGTTGTCCTCCCAAGTGTAGTAGCTGCGGCTTCTTCTGGCGGTAGTTCGTTTTGCTGGCATAATCGAAACAAGGTAAACCTCGGCACACCAAAGTGTTTTGCAACTCTAAAATAACCCATTTTATTCTCTCTTACTAATTTAATAGCTTGCGTCATGTCCTCTGCATTCCAATCTTTTCGTTTCGTGTTTAAGATGACGCCAGCCATTCTGATGAAAAATTGAAAAATACTTTCAATTTATAATTAACACAATCATCTAATCTGCTGATACTTAGAAGAACCAATTATGGAATATTCCATAATTGGATACTATGATTTGTCCATATTTGGATTTTCCAAAGACTTAAAACTGACATTTATATTTTTATATGTAATAGGTTAATACAATCAAATACCAACCTCTAAAACCCACAAAAGAACATCTAACCGATGTCTAGAAGGTATAACAACAATACTGTGTGCAATTTTTGATGCGAAAAATACGTGTTTTTTACGTACCTAGAAAGTTATGCGGCAGCGACAAAACATAACACTGCTACTGTGATGAAAGGGCTCGCTCGACTGACATGTTATGACCTGTACGCGCGAACGTGGCTAGAAAGAGACAAACACTGTTTACTGCGTGTGTCACTTTCCGTTTGATAGAAATGCCTGTATTCCATATTAGGGATACTATTCCATATTTGGTCAGTCTCCTCTATTATGCATATAATTCCTCTTTCGATGGCAATATGGGAACCTAAAATTATCTATTATTCACATTATAAAAGTGGACACTATAGTATGTAACAATATAATGAATTATCACATAAATTTTAATTAACATTTTTTATTTCGATGAATACAGTGAACGTCAATTGATACTAATCAACAATATTTCAAATTTGAGGTGATGAGTATAATTGAAACCTCTGGCGTTGATAGTCATCTCCTGATGATAACTTGGTTAGCAAAACGGGCGTCAAGTGACAATAAAAAGTTATTCTATAGATTATTTGAGTTCATTTATTATTTAATTCGGATGACTAGAGGTAAACCCAAAATGATTCAACATGTCAATGAAACCGTTCAGAGTTATTTTCCCCACTAATGGGATATTAAATAATGTAAATGGCACTTGCTCAAATGCTTGCTGTTAATTACATACATTCAAGTGGAGGTATGAATCCCTAAACCCTATCTGGGTCAAAGTTCATCAAGTTGTCGTCACGAGGGAAGTATTAAAAGTTGTCCGCTTCAACTTCCAGGCTGTCCTTTGTGCGTGTCGTTCTATTTTTGGGAGTGGAATGTCACACGCTTTGTGAATAATTAGAGGATGATACTCGGAGGTTGTCAACTGTTTTTCGAATATTTTATGAGTCGAGTTGGTAATCATACTCTGTGTAGAACATTTTCAATGGGTCTTTCCGCTTCAGAAATTTTGAAAGAAAGAAATGAAATGGCCGTTTGAAATTACATGCCGGAAAGGAATGAAATATTCCAGTGTTTTTCAGGCGACACGGGGGTATCCTGGAAGTAATTTTTTATGCAATAATCGCGGATGAGAGTTTCGTGTTGAAATTAAATTTCCAAATGCAGGAATTTAACGGGTAATTCAGCGTACTCTTTTTATAGTATTTTTATGTGCGAAATAAATTTCAACATCATTGTGTGGACGTCGTAAACCAACACCTTAATTTTTTGAATTCATTAATAAATCGAGAAAATGAATTTTTTGAAATGAAATTTCTGAACATTCACCTCTTTCGACGTTCATTAACAAGTAACATCTGCTGAAACACAACTACTTCTTTGGCTGATACCGAAATGGACATTGAATTATATCAGACAGATACTTACAAGTTACCTCACTCAATCAAGTATGTCACCAACAGATCCGTTTTTGGGGGATGGCCCGTCATCACTGCAAGAAAGAACCATCCAATACCTGAGACTCGAATGTAAACGGTTCATCGCTTTTGAGGCTTTGTTCACAACATGGAACTATTTCTGGTAAGAAAATGTTTCTCTCAAACGAAGATTTCATACATGGAGTCGAGTCACGTTCGAAATTGGTCGAGTCCCAGACACACTGTTGTTTGACTCGAATCTTTCCTGTACTGAGGAGGGGTAATAGCTCGAAACCGCGGTCTGCAAATGAGCTACTTGAATACTTGCAACATGGTCCTGCTGCTGGATGAAGGAGAATCATCCGTAAGACTACCCTCTGTATAAATGCATAAATGTTTGAAGGATATAAATCAATGTCCATCATGGTTTTATCCAGCGAAGTAGTTGTTTTACTGTACAGAAACATTAGGAGAGGTGAATTTTTCGAAATTCCACTTCGAGATGTTGATTTTAAGTTTGTGCGAGTATATTGTCTACTTAATAATATGCATCTCTAGAAGAACTTTTAAAGAAATTAGTGAATATAGTATAGTAGCATAGTGAATAATTTGAAGATATACACGTTAGATTTTTATGGGAGGTCATTTATCACTTCATTACTCCGTACTAATTTACCATCAATTTAATTACCAGGTTATGTTTAATTTCAATATGTTTTGTAGTAGATCAGCGTAACTTTCAGTTATTCGTAATTCTCTTGCCGGTCAGTACATTCATTCAGTTCGTTTGAAGTGGAGAACTCATTTGCAAATGAATCCCCAGTAAAATTCTATAGTGTTTATTTTGACAGAATAAGTAAACGTCTGCACAATGAAAGAGTTACTATCATAAATATTTGATGTATTTCCTAGACCAGAATTTTCAAGGAATGTAGTAAATGTAGCATCAACAATAGTTTGTGAGACTTTCTTCGCCAATACGTGTGTGCATCAGTGAATTCTAATTCAATAATAATTTTTATCAAGTTATTTTCATTACTATCATAAAACATTAAAATCACAGCACTTCACAAACACATCCAAAAAATTAATTTCCATACGGTATGAATGAAAAAAATTTTTTTTTTGCCTTCCTGGTGTTTTTCACCAGGCTTAGACACATCTCTTGTTCACCAACATGACGACCCAGCTTCCAAGGCATTTTTATTCATATTCTAATGTATAGAACAAATGCAGAGCTGTATATCTTATAGAAAGTACTGAAAAAGATATCTGATAGAAATCGACGTATTAAATTATTGATTTTTATTTGCTGACAGCACGATTACTTCAAAAATTTTCATTGTGAATTGTCAAATTATTTTTATTTCCTGTTGCTGATCGCACACAATCAAAATCATTGCGTTATTTCATTCCAGATGATCATTTTACAACGGGGTAATCTAGCGCAGTATAATCATCGCTACAGTTTTAATTGTAGATCCTCAGTTTTTCATCTGAGATGTTATCGGCAACTATCACAATTGATTTCAGAACATGATTTGAAAAAAAAAACTTCAAGCTCTGACTGACATATTATTTCCCAAGAACAAATGCGTTTCAGTTCTGCTCAATGTAATTGAAAAGTTGATGTTTTCATTTCATTATGAAACAGTGAATTAAATTTCAGAAATATTTTATTTTTTGATCATTCGGCTAATCAAAATGTAAACCCTTTTACCTGAAGGAGTTTTCATTTTGAGGCTATAGTATTAGGTGATCATAATTCACACACGAAATGTATATTAAAAGAGATGAATATGAATACTGCATTCGTAATAGAACACGATTCATGTAAAAAACATCTTATTTGTCGTAAACTACATCAGCGACATCAGCGCTATTTCGATCCGCCATAGGTCTCATCAGTGGTGCTAGGCTGAACCATGAATGCGTTGTAGGACTCTACTATATTCAAAGCACAAGCCTGAGTAAGAAGGATCGAAATATTCCCTTACAAAGGGGATCGACATAGAACTCAATCCTTATATCAAGATAAGAGAGGCTCCCCAAGGCAAAGCCAAACTTTTACTTCGACCGCCGATAAGATTAGTCCTCTCTCTTTCACTGCCAAGCAACACATTTTCGATTCAACAATAGACAGCGCTATTTCGTCCCGCCATAGGTCTCATCAGTGGTGCTAATCTGAACCAGATTAACACCACTGTTGTGTGGTTCAAGTGTTCAACTGGTCAGTGTCCAAATAAAAGCAACTTGTATTCAGGAACATTATTGCAATTCATTTGGTTCATGATGCTAATGTGATTATAACTAAATTAATTGGATTTCTATTTGTGAAAAACATTTTTTGGTATACATACTCTGAATCATCGAGATATTATATATTTATATTCATCGATATTTCACTTGAAAAACCAATAAACATCAGAACAGTTAAAGACTAACTATACTGGACATACTGGCCTGGAAAGCAATGAGGCTGCTGACTCCCTTACAAAGGAAGGTGCTGCAAGCAGCTTCATAGGACCAAAACCTGTCATTGGAGTCGGTTTAGGCTTTGCTAAACAAAGACTGAATACCTGGGTGGCAAAAAGATTTATGGACTTCTAGTAGAATCTTCCAGGATTGGCTCACTCCAAGGCATTTATTCACCCTTCGAAGCTTGATTCCACACAGTTGTTGGACTACAGGCCTTCTTACAGGCCTGAATGAAACAGCAGAGCACATACCTCAGGTCCGCTCCACTGGGGACCAAATCAGGTTTTTAGAATTCGTCAGAGCCGTACTCTTAGCATATGACCTTAAAGACCCCTCACCATACAAACAAATCGGCTCCGTTAAGAAGCTGGGTTTATTTGGTCGAGTGTGAATAGGTGTGAGTGACAAATCCCTTGCGGGTTGCGGTGGAGAGTCGAATAGACCCACTCACTTTGGACATAACCTACATCCGTTTCTTAGGCACCAAGAAGTAGAAGTCAAGAATAGTTTTTGGAACATTACACGTATAATTCGACCATATTTCCATTGCCTCTTTAGTGTACTATTTGATCAAACCATATCCAAATATGACTTGAATTTTCATTATAGAACACGAATTCAACTGTTTTTTTTCTTTGTTCCAGGGTACCGATAAAGAGTCACACTACCCAAACATATCAAAACCATACGTGAAGCATGTCATCGATCAATGCAACTATAGGAAGTACAGCACCGAAGGTTGGCCCGGCGGTACACCAATCATAGAACTGGACGGCAATCACATAGAGGGCGCTGCGAGAAGCAAAGTCTCCAGAAGCAGCAGTCCTGCAGTAGAAGAATCTTTGAGTCTGAGCAGGTTCAACTCTGCTGCAACATATTCTTCAAGTGGAATCGTCATTGTGTTATCAGTGATGTTGATGTGGTTCAACCGCTGAGTCGTAGTCTCGTGCACAGAACAGTTTTATTTCTGAGTGACGATTTTCCGTGATTTGTTTTCGAGTCATGTTTTTACTAGTCCGACTGGCCAGAGGTTCGAACACTGTTGAAACGAACTGAAAGATATGTGTTACGTTTAAACAAGTACGACTGTTTTGCTGAAACGTTCGAGAGTTTAATTGTTCATTCCTGCATCCGACGCATATTTCTGTTATTCTATTCCCGGGTAGCCTGAAGTGTTGGTTTATTATTTATTAGCTTGAACCTGGAATAATAGAGGAATTGGAAATGCGACGGTAACTGGATCCAGTAACTTGTGTATTATATATAAAACCGTAATTTGGTCGTGGATAAACATGTCATGTTCCCTTGGCTTTATTGTGTAACTTCCATATACAAGCCTATTCAAATATGAGTCTATTCGTGGGAACTCTGTAAATAGTGAAAGATAATGATGGCAAAATATTTAATCTAGTTCATTTCGTTATAGGGACATACAGGAAAAATTATAAACTGGTTGTACCTATCTAAACATTCTCATGTGAGTTAATAGATTGTTATCAGATTATAAAATATTAATAAAATTTTCAATTTAAAATATGAAGAAGCCATAATCTAGATCATATCTAATTTGAAGATGGCAGTTGATAAATGGGTTAATTATGAGCATTTAGAACGGCACCTCTAGATGTTCATAGTTGTCATGCTACATTTTCTCCCTTTTGAAAGTTTAGTATCTAGTTCAATACTTACAAATTTTTCGAAGGTTGGTGTATTCAATGACCGTTTTACAACAAAATATCCCATATAATAGGTACTTTAAAAAAATACAGATGTAAAGTGTGCTGAACATATTGATAGCCCACTGAAACTATTAGGGGCGAATATCTCTGGGAATAAATTTTTCCTGAAAAAAAAACTATAGTTTTTTTGCTATAATTCAATGAACATTTTTGAACAAGAAACTTTCCTAATTCAACTGACATGCAGAGATTTGAATTTGAAGACCTTTTTATAGATTTTAAAATATTTTATTAGTTTCAAAATACTTCTATCGACAGATGAATTCGATGAAATCTAATATTTACACATTATGTGATGTCACGTAGAAACAATTTTCTGTGATAGTTCAAGAACAATCAATCATGCTGGTGTTTGAAAACTATACACCAATACTCTCGAATGTTTAGGCATAAATTAAGTGAAAAATGTGTAGCGGAAAACTGATGCTGAAAAAGACAAAGTTTCAAATTGCCGCCGCGTTATGGTCTGTGATGCAAGTAGATATAAGCACTTTTTGATATTCTGTTTCTTCTACTACTCCACGTAGTTTCTACTGTTGTTATTATTATACCCACCCTCTCCCTCATTGTTTATAAAATCACATGATGAAAAAACTTATATTCATGTGGTTTGGGAAGGCAAAATACACAAACTCCATAAAATGTCAACAATTTTTGTATTTTATTTCTACAAAGTGTTATCCGAGTTATCAGAGATATGAATTATTCAATTGTTCTTCATTAAAACTTTCTTTCATTGATAGTGAGACAGAGATATAATATAGAACATCATAAGATTAAAATTGAAACACTGATATTTTTTATTCTTCAAAAAGCCCTCCTGAACCAAATGTTTTCATCAAGTATTACTTCCTTCATTATTGGGTATGTTTTGTATTTATATGTAAATTCTAAAAGATTTTCTTGTATATTTGTAGTTTGACTGGTGCTATATATAGTTTTATCCTTTGTAAATGTATTGTATTTAATTTATTATCAATATCGTTTATTCGTTAGGGAAAGAAAATTCTTGTACAGTGTAGATATCCTGTGTAATATATTTTATAAATAAATCTCCATAACGAATGAATAAATATCTAGCAATAATATTCACTTCTGGCTTCTTATTCCTCGACAATCCGCTACCTGGACATTGAAAGTTGAAGAATGTCGACCTATCCTGTCAGAATTCCCGTCACCCAGTATATCGCAGAGTTATGAATGGACTGACCCGTTACTTGATGTAAATTAATAACACTGTCTATGATAGTGTAGTGGTGGTGTAGTAATGAGGCTTACTGGAGTTTTTTACCAACACCAAACCGTTATTTCAACACCTTGATACGTGTTTCGATCACCAAGTTATCATCTTCAAGATCACTGATTTAATAATTTTTTGAAAACGTATGATTGTTGAAACGCACTTCAAGAAGAGTGTTGAAGTTGTGGTGATTGGGAAGAATATTTGTTCTTGGATATATTGTTTTATTGGAGGAAAATGACCGATTGGTTGAGAATTTGAACATCATCTACCCATAAAATATTGGCATATGTTTATTTGAAAATATCGCATAGATTTCGCATAAATATACTGATATATCGTTGTAAATGCGGCAAGTGAACACAAACCGCCCATTTATAAACGGTTGCTTTCTCTTTCCAAAACCAGGAACGTATGAAAAAGTGATGAGTCATCGCCTAAGAACTCAACGAACACTTCACAAATATTCTAGACCAGGGATCGGCAAATAGTTTTAGGTGGGGTCAGATAACTGTGGGAAAATCTTTACGAAGTCCAGAAAAAAACAACTGATAAAAATCAATTGCTACCTATTTATTATTTTAGTTTCAAATCAAATTATTAAACATAAGACCTAAAAATAATGTGAGAAATTACACCGACGTCTTGAGCCAATTTTTAATTGTTTGGTTCTCGAGAGGAACAGCAAATTCATAGTGTGTCTTCTAGGTGGGCGTCTGTTAATGTATAACGATATTTACTTAAAAAAAAATTATTCTTCAGAAAAGATGTTTCACATACATATGTCGAGCTAAACATAGTGGCCAAATTTATAGCCGATTTCTTGCAATTTAAATATTTTTCTGGAACATGTTTGATCCAAAATTCTTCAGTGGACACCGTTTTATATATTTGCAAAGACACATCTTGCAAATCAATTATCTCTATTTGAAGTGATGCCTTTAGCAGCCACATCTGTTCATTCTGCTGCTACATCAACTCCAAATGACGATTTAAGAAACGGAGATAGCTTGCCTATCTCTGCCAAGTCTTGGAATCTTGTAGCAAAGTCTTTCCTAAGATCGGCCAGAAGTTTTACAAACACTGCAATGTCTTCTTCAGAGTTTTTTTTATAATAATGAGTAGTCGGAATACGAATAAATTCCTATCTTGCAATATATTTTGCAAAGATATCCAGCTTGCGACGTAAAGTAGACACGTTTTGTATCAGATCACATATTAATTTTTCCATTTCCTTGTGATTCTGTTTTTAGCGCATTTCAATATTTCAAAATATCTTTTTCAAAAGCTACGACAAGTATATTACGTGTTTGTGCTTTCTGGCTCCCTCCTCATCTAAGTTTTGCGAGAAGGAGGTTACTTCTTCTTTTGTCAGCCAGAAACTGTCAATAACTTAACCTTCACTTAGCCAACGAACATTTTGTCGTGTTGCAGTCAAAATCAACTTGACCAAGTTCTACATCACACAATATAGCACTGAGTATTCCACAAAAGGCTGCCTGGTGTATTACGCACTGATACCTTATTAGGCCTGAGTTTTTATCCCTGATTCTCTTTACTACACCTATTTCTTTGCCAGTCATTGCTGGGGTCCAGTTAGTTGAAAGCGACACCATTTTATCATAACTTATGTTAGATTTAGTAATAAATTCATCAATGACCTTGAATAAATCTTCTCCTCGAGTGTAACTTTTCAACGGCAATATTGCTAGCAACTCTTCCCTAAAAATCTGACACTCGAAATCAAGAAATCTTACGAAAATAGACATTTATTCATCATCAACCATGTTGCATGATTCATTAAGTACTATGGTGTAGCGAGGTGCCTTTTACAGGAGTTCAAGAAGAGTGTCTTTAATATCATCAGCAAAAATTCCCGTTTTTCGTGTATTACCTCTCGCTGATAATGAAATACTTTGTAACGCAGCGACATCTTTTTTTCTTCAAAAAGTGCCGTGACTATCTCTAACATACATTTTTTTACCATCTCAGAATCTACAAATGGTTTCTGCTGTTTATTAAGCGTCCAGCACATGTAGCGCTGCTTCTGTGTATTTTTCGTGCTCGCTTATGCAACGAACTAGTAATTTTGTACTCTTTTCGTAAGAACTGAAATATGTCTGATTTTTTCTTTACGAGCCTGACTGCCAAGAGGAAAGTTTTTGTGGAATTGCTGATGAGTAGTTTCGTAGTGTCGCTTCAAATTTCCACTTTTAACAATAGCGACAGTTTTATTGTATATAAGGCACACTGGAACCGGTTGAGGCCTATTAGGCAGCGTAAAACAATATTGTTCGGTCAATTCTGCCAGAAACCTCCTAGTTCCACTCCACGCTTTTTATAATCCAGGTACGAAAATATTATGAAAACGCGAAAAATCACAAAACAAATCAATGGTTGGTCCGCGGTTTGCGCGGACAGTCTACTACTCCCTGCCTACTACCATATCTGTTTTAGGTACCTGTAAAACAGGTTGACTAGGCAACTTGAAATAAAATAAGTACATACCTAGTTGAATTCTAGGTGGCTTAAAAATATTACTTCAATTAATAAAGGTATGGTATACCTTATCTACATAATAATTTTTATACTAACAAATTACAATATTTGCCGGCCCGATGTTCGACTTTTTGCGGTCCGCCTGTTGCCGACCGTTGTTCTAGATGAATAGTACGTGTCGAGTAGTCGACGACTAGTCATCCCTGCCTAGATGATATTTTTAAACATACTCCAGATTCTTCGAACTTTCGGGAGTAAGGCTGATTTGGTTTAGAAAATTTCGAAAAAGTTAGCAAGTGATAGCGATGCATGTAAAATAATGAACTACTTGCATTTCTCCTTAGTTTCGCTCAAATGTCAATAAAATCCTTTCATTCATCACTACAAAGATATATGTTCACCTGCTTCTTTAAACAAATATTTGTATACTGAAACATTGTAAGTATCTGGTATTCGACTCTGGTTTAATATTATAATTAGCGGGCGTAGATTGGTTTCTCTTAATTTGCTTCTAAGTGCATTGAAATTGTTCTACATTCGCATACATTTTTTGAGGTTCATTAGCGGTAGATTCGGATACCTTTCTGCTGACGATTTCATCACACTGTCCAAAAATAATAAACAAATTCGTAAGAACTTCGTTTGAATAGTTTTTTCCCTTCATTTTGAAGGTATTTGAGATTTCTGCAGTGACAAAAAAGTCAATATTATTAGGAGAATGTCACAGTTAGTGTCAAATAGCAATAATGGCCTGCTCACAAAATACCGAATGGGAATACCATTCTGAAGGGACATTTCCACAAACTACTGCTCGTAAGTCCGAAACTAGTTAGGTATACGCATGATGTACATAGAAATTTTAACAGCTTTCTGAATTTGTATTAATACACATGGTGTTTCTTTTGACACGAAAATAATGTATTTTTTACCACCTTGTATTAAAGTAACAGAGGTTATGCTGAAGTGTGGGAAGCCTGCAAGTATCACCTAACTCCAAACCAAATTTCGATTCCATAGTATTTCTTAACTCAAGGATACCAATATTTCTAGAGGTCATGGTTTCTGAATCAAGAGCTGTTGCTGTTGATATTTCTAAGGCCTTTGACCGTATGTGACATGAGAGTTTGTTGGCCAAACTTCGATGCTATGTTTTGTCGGACCATTTTTGTGTATGGCTCTCCAGCTTCAGTATCTCTCGAATACTTTCCATATTGTCTCTAACCCTCATTTTATTGAATATCAATGACTTATTGGAAAAAAAACAAGAATACAATATATTGCTTTGCTGACGCCAGCACACTTATCTCGTCATCCCAGTCAGATTCCAGGACATAGGCTACGGAGGCACATCTTCACCGGTAGCAGGAGGTTGCATATTTTAATGAGGATCTAGAAGTGATTTCGAAAAAAAACAGGTTCAATTCAATAACACAAAAACTTAGGCATCGGTTTTCTCCACGACAAATCTGCTTTCTGCTTCGATAATATTGTTGGGGGTTGAAATGGACACCAATATGTCTTGGCACAATCATGTCGCTGGAATTGCAAAGGCTGCTTCCCAAAAGCTTTGTACACTATTCCAAACCGAAAAACTGTTCACACCTCAGCAAATTTTGATGCTTTATGGAGCTCAGATCACACCATGATACCCTTGGACATCAGAGACAGCTTGGAGATTTGTCTCTCTTCTACAGATACTTTCACGGAAAGTGGTCGAGTATGACTTAGTACGTTTGATTCCACCAAGTGCGGTACATATCAGAAATACGCGACAGACTGTGGCTGCTCATAGTTTTGAGGTTCAACTCAGTAAACCGCGAACTTCACTGTTTTATAACTCTTTCATCTGGAGAATTGCGTTTATGTGGAATAAACTTCCTGAGAACGTTTTTCCAAATGGTTCTAAACTTCAGCGATTCAAATCCAATGTGTTTTGTCCTCAAAAAAATGATATAAATTGAAATTGATTCATATTTCGAAAACGGTAACAGATAGGTATAGGAAAATATTAAGAAAAGTTGTCGGGTAATTGTTGTAGATTCCAAAATTATACCACCATCGTAGTAAGAGGGTTCGGAACAACGAGAACCTCAACTCGAGTACCATTTCGGGCACTGCGACCTATACCACACCACCACCAATGCCAGACATAAAATCCTGCAGACCACAGTAAAAAAAAACTTTCATTGATTTAATCTCCGGCCGTTAAGGTTCACATTCTTTGATCAGACAAACATATAATCAATAAATCCATCTCCATTTGTCCTTTTCTCTGATCTAATGTATTCGTATGTGCAGAGCATTTATATTTATTCGTGTCTGCTTTCCTCGGCATTTCATCGATACAAATCAG